CCTTTTCAGGCAGCAAAAATACTTTGTAAAAAATGTACTTTTGTTTCGAATTCTGGATGTCCTTGTGGACTTCACTTAGTTGACTTTATTTGGACAAGTGCATGGGGTAAATACTGGCTTGCAACGGGATTTTGCAGACTTAGTAGTTAAGTCCCATGAATCTTGATAAGGCGCTTCCACTCTGGCACCTTCATTTCTCCTCTCCCCATGTTTTGACCCATCTTCCGCTGTGGATTCTGGCCCTGCCTGGATCAGCAGGCCGCAGCACAACTCAAACAGCTCTTCAGATGAATTCTAATCACCTCCCGTCCAAGAAACATGCATTTGCACATATTTCCCCAGAGGAACTTGCCGTATCGGCATGATTATATAGAAAGAGATTGGCTTGTGGGAAAATGTACCCTATCAAATCAGTCACATCCCAGGTCACCAGTTACAGTACATAAAGTAATAGAACAGGTTTATAAATCAGTGGACTGGCAGATGCTGGCCAGGGCCAGAGTAGGACAACCCGTGGACCATGAAGAGTGAGTGCTGGGAGTCTTCTGCCAGTGCAACTAAAGCTGAAAATAGTGGACACTGGGGAAAGAAATCAATTTAGTAATGCACATTCCATTGTCCAAAAAGCTATTTTAGAAAAGGCAAGTAAATTCAGGGGTACATTGGTCCCTTGGAAAGGAACCATGACTAGAAGGCTATCTCCACTAATGCCCGAGAGATCCATCTTCTGAGTCAGTGGTCAAGCTCTCAGCAGGCTTAAGGAAGGGAGATGGGGAGGGCATCTCCCAGGCTTCATTATGGCAGAGTGAAGTGGTGCTTGGCCCCCTGACATTGCCGAAAGCAGATCCGTTTCTCTTTAGGGACGGCCACTTATTTATCCCAGCCTTATCCTGCTGCAGTCGAGCATAGCCTCCACAGGGACTTACAGGGAAGATGGAGTTCCTCCTTATACACAGCTGTGCCCTCTCTCTTTCTCTCTCTCTTTCCCTCACTAACACACACTCATACAAACACGTCCACATCTCTAATGCTCTGTCTCTGTCTCTACACTTAGTCTTTCTCTCTTTTTCCCCTTTCTCGCCTTTACTCACGTATGAACAGGCACTACATTCCGAGTGTTTTTCCACCCAAAAACACACACATAGGCCTGTGTCAATAAGAATCCTCTTATTCTGGTAACTGTGTGGAAAACAACCATACAAACACAATCAAACCAGGTTGAGGGGGGTGGTATTTTTTTCTGGTTTATCCAGTACACCGTTCAAAAATCTTCCACAGCTTTTATCAGAACTGTCACAAGTACAGATAATGCAATGTACAAAAACTACAAACCACACTGACGTTACAGTATCCCTTGTAGCTGGGAGGATAAGCCAGCAAAGTTTTTGACAGGTTTCAAATAAAAATGATGCAGCAGACCCATAATCACCTCTTGTCCAGTCTGTTTCACGTGAATCAGTCTGCTTTGTTTTCAAGGCAGTGGATATAAAGGAATTGCTGGTCTTTTGGGGTTAGCTTTTGCTTAAGATGTACAACAGACCGATGAAGGCTGGCTGATGAGTCGACGACTTGGTCAGCTACACCAGATATTGTCTCCTTGTCTGCTCAACAAGCCATGGACCAGCTGGTACAGATAGCATGAATGACTGTAATAATTTCCAAATTTCAGCAGTGTCTTACAGTCAGAGGCACGAGTGTATGAGACGCATGTATAAATCAAATGACCAGAGAAATTCAATGAACCTGAAGTTGGCATCTCATTTGAATTTCCTGTTTCACCTTAAATGGTGCAGTAGTTATTTTCAAGCACCTGTAAAGGTGGCAGAATGTAACCGCTGCTCAATTTAAGTTAGAATAGAAAATCTGAAAAGCCAAATTCAGATGCAACTCAACATTTGGCAGATTGCAATACTGACCTAGGCTTGTCTATATACTGTTCAGTTTTCTTTTTACTATTTTGTACAATAAAAATATTTCAGATTTACTTTAGTTGTTAAAAATGGCTCTTATTAAAAAGTAAATCGACATCCCAGAATAATAAGCCACTGTTAAACTTACCTTCGGCCATACTACCCACTACTAGCTTCACATTTAAATTCACACACTATTTCTACGTTTACTCCTTCATCAAGAAAAAGTGTTGCTATTTATGTTACTATTAATATCTCTGTATAATATCTGCTGATGCGTTCCAGAACATCACTGATGATGAGTCCAGAGGCTTCAGCAAATGTACATGCAGAGATACAACTACTACCGCAAATGCAAATACATTAGCAACACTTTCACTTCTGGTATTTTTATGACAGTCCCTAACACTGAAGCAGACCCAGCAGCAAAGAGAGTGGGAGCGTGTGAGCTGAGGCTTAATCTTTGTCACATAAAAGATCAATAAAAGTTGCAGATGTAGTATACTTTCACTTTTAATTTGGCAATGAAAGTGTAATTAACCTGGTAATGAATAAAAAAGAACTGTGAAATTCACACAAGCCTTTCAATGCTGGGGTATCTTCAGCCGCTTAGTCTAGACTGATTGTGCGAGAGCTGAGAGATAACATTGTTTTGTCTGATCAAGCCATTTCGTCTGATCTGAGCCAAACACATTTTGTCTGACGTCTGAAATAATCGATGCAACGATTATTCAACTTAGTCGACTAAATTCAACGACCAAATTAGTTGGCAACTATTTTAGTAGTCGATTAGTTGGTGACGTCATTATACGTCTTTCTCGCGCTCACTAGGGACATTTTAACATTACCGCTCACTGAACAGTTAACCACAGCGCGATGGCAGCCTCAAGAAAAGCCGACCTTAGCTGACATGGGAGCACATCCTCCATGCTGGAGCATCTGAAGAGGAAATTCGTCAGTCCACTGGATGAAGAAGATTAATCTCAGTAAGATACGCCGCGTCCCAAACCGCATACTAGCACGCTAAGTAGTGTGTAAAAATAGCGCATATACCATTAGAAGTGCACTCATTAGTCTAGTGTGTGAAGTGCAGAAGTGTGTGGTTTGGGGCGTGGTGATAGTTGTGCTAGCGAGCTAGTTAGATAATGTTAATGTTAAATTCCGTCCTACTTCATGTTGTGAGCTGAGCTGTAACATTTGTATTTCGAAATGCATGTTCTCTGGAATCTTTAATGGAGTTGGAAGAGAGAAGCTACCCTGTTCACTTTCCAGATATCGTTTACACTTTTAAACACTGCATCTTAAAGTTGAGGCCCCCGGTGCGAACATAGAGAGCGTTTCCAAACAAGTTTTCTGTTCTCCACGAACATTTAGCTCCACTCGCTAACAGTTTATGGAGGTAGTTCTCCGCGAGACACAAAGGGCATAGGGTTACCGCTGAAATGAAACTTTTCACAAATTCGTTAATTTAACTGTTCATAGAGAAGTTTTCCACAAACATTCGCCACTTTCCCATCCGCTCCATCAGAGCGCATCTCCTCTGCAGCGGGGAGTATCTGCTCTCAGAGGAGAGCGAGCCTCACAGGAGCACAGAGAGATGCTGACTTTCAGTAAAGACCTGTGATTGTAAAATTTAGTTGCAGCAAATGTAGACAGAGCACAGACTTTACACATCCTTGGTTATACATTTTTACAGGAAAAATACACTGGAGTTTTACATTTTTGTCTTTTGTATTAGCAGGAAAGTTCATTAATACAGTGAATTCTTGAATGTTATTCATCTTTATTGTCTTCATTGTTGGTTAGCAAATGCATAAAAGGCATAAAAGCTAATAGCTACATGAAAGATATTTGGTAATATAGTGATTCATAATCCGAATAATCGATTATTCGTTTTAGTAATCGATAGACTATTCGACTATCAGATTAGTCGTTTGTTGCAGCCCTAGTCTGAAATGAGCCGCTGCAGTCTGAGGATGTCCTAAAATTGTAGCACAGGTATAATATCTGCCTGTCTCAATGACACACAGTGCCCCCTGAATCTCCCTCCAAGTGCATTCAACTGCAACACTCAACAGCTGGGTTTCTACATCAATCTTATCTATGTTAGCCACAATAATGTGGTATTAATGTAAAACATCACATTACCCAGCATATTCACGTGTAGGAATCCTAATATCTTGCTTTGATTTGATTTGATTTACAGTACTGTGCAAAAGTCTAAGTCTGCACCTAAGTACATTGTTTGAAACCATTTTTCCTGGCAATAATTGTATAATTGCCTGTGGAAAAAAACACCATATATCATCTAATCACATGCAAATAAAAATAAATCCAGTAAAAAGTAACAATAATTTCTTATTTTGGAAAAAGCAGTTGATATTTTGTGAGCTAGTTTGATTTCAGGTATCTCCTGGGCACCCCCAACCGTCACAAAGACTTGTCAGATTTTATTGCCAGCACACCTGATTTAACTTACAGAAGCACTGATCAGCCAGGTATTATATGATAACTACAAGTAACACCTTGCTGCCACAAGGACAGGATTGAAAACGAACAAACTGACATACACAAAATCATTAATTACGGTTTTGATGTTATTTGTATTTATTCTAATATTAGTGTTTTTTCTGAGCAAATAATGCTTGCTGCCCAGATATGCAGTAGTATGAATTCTAATTTTCTCAGGTGCCAAAAACAATTGCACAGTATGGCAAATAAATAAAATAAATGAACAATGTTTTTTAAACTGGTGGTAAATGAGTTTTTACCATCAGCAGAGGCTGTTGTGCTTACTTGGTTAACCAGACACAGGCCTATACACAAAAATCTTTTTTTTTCATTCTGTTTTTTCTCTTGTGTTCCCACAACATGCAGAAAATAAAATAATACAAAATCCCCAACTTTTGCAGACCCAATAACGAGTCATCATACAAATAATTCCATACAATTTCTCCAGAGATGATTAGAGGGTGTTGACACAGAGGTCACTCAGAGTGGTTTATACATAATGTGTGTGATTACGGGGAGCCAGAATGGGTAACAGTAAGCCAACAGCACACTCCTTCCAAGCAGGTGGCTGCCTCTTACCATAATCCTGGTCGTAGAAAATAATGAACTTCTGCCAGGTGTACTCCATCACCACATGGAAAATGACATCGTTCAGGTAGACTGGCGGACGAACGAAGAGTGTGTAGTCATCAGGCTGGCCAGGGGTGGTGGGGGGACAACTAGAGCGAGGGGTGCCTGCCGGTGCCCGCTGGATAAACAGATGGGGGATGTGCATGGCATCTGCCAGAGACTGTAGAGAGCCCGCAGACATGCAGCCAATGGAGCTAACCAAAGCCAGGATACCTCTGTTCATCAGCTCACATGCTGCAGAGAAAAAGAGAGAGAGAAATGTTAGTCTAACAATATAAGGCTTATATAAACACCAGGAACAAGTGCACACATTCACACTTAAAAATAACAGTTCTCAAACGGTTCTTGGCTTACATGTATGGTTCTAGGTGAAAAACATACACTATATAAACAAACGATTTGGAATACACCTCTTCATCATTGAATTCAGATGTTTCTAATGATGCTTCTCTATCTGGCAGTCTGATGGACGAGTCTGAGTTTGGCGAATGCCAGGAGAACGTTACCTGCCTGACTGCATTGTGCCAAGTGTAAAGTTTGGTAGAGGAAGGATAATGCTATGGGGTTGTTTTTCAGGGGTTGGCCTAGGCCCTTTATTTCCAGTGAAGGGAAATCTTTAATGCTTCAGCATATCATGACATATCGGACAACTGTATGCTCCCAACTTTGTGGGAACAGTTTGGGCTGTTAAGCTGTTGTAGCTACAAAGAGGGGACCAACTCCATATTAATGCCTATGGATTTAGATTGGGATGTCATAAAAGCTACTGTATAATCTGTACTGTGTAATGTGTAGATGTCCCAATACTTCTGTCCATATAGTGTACAATTAGTATACAACTTTCACATTATGTGGAAGTTCCTTTAGCCCTATCAAGTGTCTCGCCAGCAATCCATTCTAGAAATTTGGCGACGACCCACTCTTTTAAATCTGCCATCAGAAGAGTTACTTCTAGTTCTTCGCATTAAAAATGGATTAAAGAACCATAAATGAAAAGGCTCTTTAGTGAAACAAAGGTTGCTCTTCTTTGTCACTTTAATTTAAAGGAGTGTTAATCAGAGATATTGGTATGGAGCGGACCCCAGCAGAGAATGCTGGATTGGACATCAGGGAAAAAAACAATGAATCTAAACCAGCCTTACAACATTCCTAGTTTGAAACAGCATACGCTCACATTGTGTGATGCGATCTTGTTCCTTCTTTATTTCTTTTGGGGTAGTACAGTGTTTAATAAGTTTTAGAATGATGAGTTTGAGAAGGTTTGCATGCTCATTTGAAATGAAGTGCTACAATGAAAAATTTTACTAGGTGGCACGGTGGCGCAGTGGGTAGCGCTGTCGCCTCACAGCAAGAATGGCCGGCGTTCGATTCCCGGCCGGGTGACCAGGGTCATTTCTGTGTGGAGCCTGTTCTCCCTGTGTCTGCGTGGGTTTCCTCCTCCCACAGTCCAAAAACATGCAGTCAGGCTGATTGGACATGCTAAAATTGCCCCTAGGTGTGAGTGAATGTGTATGTCTGTCTGTCTGCCCTGCGATGGACTGGCGACCTGTCCAGAGTGTATCCTGCCTTCCGCCCAATGACAGCTGGGATAGGCTCCAGTACCCCACCGCGACCCAGAAGGATAAGCGGTTTAGATGATGTATGTATGTACTTCTAGTTTTCAAGCTTGGCAGTTTTTAAACAAGAAGTATCAGATCAGCACCGGTTTTGGCATCAAGATTTCAATATGTGTCTCAATACGGGTATCAAGGTTTCAATATCAGTACCGGAAAAGAAAAAGTCTAATCTCTAATGATAATATAATGTGAATATACTGTTGCTGTCATAAGAAAACATTGTACATCCAAAGTGGTAGTTTAAAAGAGAAGGAAAAATATTTTTAACATCTGTTAACTTCAAACTGCCTTTCAACTAAATATTGATCCATTCATCATGAAATGGATAATGTACAATGTAAAGGTAGTTTACAATGGATTAAAAAACTGTTTTCTAATGACAGCAATGATGTATTGACAAAAGGAAGGAAATAAACAGAAAGGAATACATAAAACAAAAATTCATAAAGCAGAAATGGCCTCAGAAACACTAAAAGAACAGCTCCCTACAGCAAAGTAGTCATTTTCTTTGTCGGCTCGTGTAGCTCAACCTTGGGCAAAATCCCAAACCAGAAGCTAAGGAGCGAGTAATCAATGTGGCTTTTCTGTGCTCTTAATTACTACTGCAGAATAAAGTTCAAATATCATTATTTCTACTCCATTTAGAGACACATTTGCAATCCTACACTATTAGAAGGCAGTCTGCTGCTACTACTGCTGCACAGTCTGTGGCACTGAATATGCCTGCATGATACTGGGTCTCCGTGAGGAAAAAGCATAAGGTCAGTAGGATTGGATAGTACAACATACAGCAAGGTGCTTTACACTAAAAGCCACTAAGCACTTTGCATAAACATATCAATTATTCAAATGCATAGCTTGCAAAAACAGTCCAGCAATCCATCATTAGAGGGCACTAATGCCGCTACTGAGCCCTTTACATGCTCTCCTTTCTTCACACCTTCATTATAATCTACAGTAGTGACGTTGACAGATGTGCATGCAGTCGTGTACAGTAGGTTGTTTTACACTGCTGTCCTTAACTCTCACAAGTTGTAGTTCTTGCTGGCGATAACAAAAACGTTAATAATAATTAGTTAATAATAATAATAAAACAACTCTCGCTTTAGCTCATTAAAACAAGCAGAGAAATTCTGTTGACAGTGCAAATTCTAAACTTTGAATCAATACCAGTTTGGTGTTCGTAAGTGGCAGCGGAGATATTATATCATGTACTGAATTTGATGAAAAGTTGTTGTTGAGTGCACAGTCCTGTTTTGCAGGACATTTTCATCGCATAGAGAAAAGAAATGCCTGGGCTACATGTGAGATACATTTAAAATACATTGTACATCTGAAAAACATAATTGATAAAAACACTTTACATATATGTCTTTTCCATATGGTAATTTTTCCTTTTGCTTAACAAACTAAAAGTAAGAAGTCAGCAGTGCAGATTTGAACCTGTTGAATGTGAAGAATGTAAACAAATGTAACTCATTAGGTGATTACTTAATTACATGCGAATAGTAAGAGTAACAGAAAACCTGTTATTAGGATACAAAAAATGGTAACTGTATTCCGTTTTTAAAGTTTTTTTTACAGAGAAAAAAATGTAACCAGATTACAGACACATTATAAAAAACAGTGACTTTTCTTGCCTGTGTTCGACTTTACAAGCTACATTTGTCTGCTAAATGCAGATTTTGTTGAGAGTTTTCTTTTTTCTTTTCTGAGAGTTTATCGGTCATCACAGTGTGACGGGAAGAGGGGAGAACACAGACAGCATGCTGTGGTAACCGAAAAACTCCCACGAAAGACAAATAATCTCAAAACAAACACTCTATTTATTATGGCAACAGTGTTAACTTAATTGATGGCGCCAAGTTAAGCTACATTTCTCTTTTTTTATGTGGTAAATTTCACCTTTCTTTCACAGTTTCTTTATTCGGAGTGAGGTACATCCGTATTCATGTTAAAACAGTGTTAAAAGTTAGACAAACCAAGTTGAGATGGACAGATTTTCACATCCCATAGAAAATGAACCAAACCAAAAACACGAAACAAAGTCTGACTCATATTCAAAATAGACTCATATTGCATTATAACAATTGAACGATCTACACGGCTCCACGGAAATTTACATCATTCCCGTCAGTGCGGTTTAAAAGGTAGTTACTCTGCAGTACAAATTAGGAATGTAAAGTTTAGGGGGCACAAGAATCCAGTACTTTATGTTTTTATTCCAAACTACACATGCCTTACTTAAATACCTTATTAACACCACCAAAAAACAGACATACTTATAGCACACATAATGCACAGCCTGCACAATTACTTTTTTTTGCTGAATTAAACATATTGAGAAAAATTAAAACATGATGTGTAGTATGTACAAAAGTGTATAATATGTTAAATTCAGCAAATAAACATAAACTGTGTTTACTATACACGACTGTATAGTAATCCTTTGGCTCAGGTTGATATTTTTTAAGTGATCTGGACTGAAATACATTGTTAAAGTAACCTTCCCAACCCTGGGAATAGTGTGGCAAAACATTTTCTAGTTCTAAATGTAAGAATATTAGGGTCTTGATTACAATTTGCTGCAAAAGCCCATCTGAAAACAGAGCCTTAACATCCTCGTCCAGTCCAATAGCTATGTACCCCTTGACGCTCCATCCTCAACTCCAAAGCCATGTCAACCCCCCTTTTCCCCACCCTCCACCCTTCTTGCGCTCCAGGACACACAGTAGCGCTGATGCCAGACACAAACATTCATCTCGCTCGGCTCGTTTCATTCCTTGTTGCCGGACTTGCGGAAGGTGAAACATGGAGTGTGTCGGACCGAGCCGAGGCGCAAAGTAATTTGCCAACTGCGGCAGAAAAAGCAGGAGCGTCAGGCGCAGGACGCAGGAAGGTGAAGGAGCGTGGCCCTATGCTGCTGAAAAAGCAAAAAAGACCAAGAGAACAGGGCCATAAACACCAGCTCTAGCCCTAAAGTGACGGCTGCAGGCCACAAGCAAGCTTACTGTGGCTTTTTAAAGTCACCACCAAGTTCAAGCTGAAGCCAGAATACTAAGCGACTGCAGCAAATGGCCAAATTGTGACAGTGCTGTGTATGCTTAAACATGACCCTGCATGGTCAATACACAGCGGCATTCAAAGACTATAGAGGCTTTGGTGATCATGAGTAAATTCAGCATTTAGTCATAAAACCGAAAAAGTAGAAGCAGAAGAAAAGAATATAATATAATTTAGCCTAGTACTAATCTCAATATGTCATCATATAAAATCAATTTGAACAGGAATGTCATAGATGTCTTGGTTTTCCTTGAAGAAATAGTTCAGACAAAAATGCTAATGTTGCTAACAGTGAGTGAAAGTGAGGTGCTATCAGATAACACTATGCAAATGACCAGTGGTGAACCATGACTATTAGATCTAGGCTTTCAATTTAGGCCATAAATGCCAAAACTCATTCAAAAAACAAGAAAAAAACAAAACAAAACAAAAAAACCCCTCTGTGATACTACTCATTTCTGCTAGCACCCCTATAGTATCTAACAGCATGCTACCACTAAGCTAATGCTGACGCACATGAACATTTTTGGTCATTCTAGATTAAACACAGACATC